GAAGATCGAGCTGCAAGTAAGAAACAAAAAAAAAACATACACACACACACGTCTAGATCTACCCTCCTTACTGCTGCTTTTTCAACGAATGGTGGTCTTGGCAAAGGCACCAATCGACTCATCGTTGCTATCGCCAACCACTTGGCGCACGAAGCTTTTTGCCGGGAAAATTTTGACGACGAGAGGGCCTTAGTTCGCCTGAAAGCTTTTCATACTAACAGGATTCGGAGACGGTTTATCTTCGAGCTAGCTCGTTTTCTGTCAATGCGAACTCGCGATGTGTTCAAACGTCATGGGCTACTAATCGACCAGCTTCCACCAGGGCCAATCGGTTGAGATCCCTGCGACAACGATAGTAATGAGGGTAAATCTTTTGGGAGTGACGGGGACGAAGGAAAGAGAAGAAAGGAGGACGAAGACGACGATGGGGGAAGAAAACATGGAGTGGAAGAGAGCAAAGGGTTTGAGCCAGATGACCTTCCCCCCCTAAAAAAAACGTAGGGCTAGGGAAGAACTGCCCAGAGATTCTTGTCAACATGAGGATCAGAATAAGGTCAGAGCGGAACCAAGGAGGATCATGGTGAAAGTTCTCCTAAACGAACTCGAGTACAAGGTAGTAGCCTTGGTAGACGCGTGCAGTTTACTTCTGTTGCTGCTGTTTCTGACTTTGATCCGAAGGACAGTTTAGCCTCCCCCATGCTGTCCCCTCACGGGGTCCAAGTTCATGGCAGATAGAAGGTTTTTTTGTTTTTAACCGCACTGAGACTGACGTCTTTTCATTGGCCGCCGGTTAGCGCGGTCGATGTTACTAATAACACACACATACACACCTTGTTGTTTTCTACCCCAGAAGGGATGGTGGTTGCACTGTCTGACCCCCCCCCCGCCCCCTGCCCTCGGTGCTGTACACCGATTAACCAGAAAGATGACGACGACGAGTGGGTGTTGAGCATCTCCTCAACAGAAAGCTACGGACCCGACGAGAAGCCCCTGCTGGTTTGGGGGCAGATGGTTGTATACGACACGAAAGAGGAAACGGCCGAATCCCTGTGCCCGGACGCAGACGCCGCAGGGTATGTTCGTCTCATCCGTGCCCTCAACCACGAGGGGTTGCAAGCTACCTGTCTTCCCGAGAAGGAGTTCTTGGGTTCGCAGACTAGTGCTCTCTACCTGTGGGTCGACCCCACGTGTCCGGTGTACTACGCGAAATGCGCGCCGGATGAAGACTGCCGCTACCCAGTAGTGTTTAGTACGTGTCTGCCGCAAGACGTGTCTAGCTATGACCGGATGACTGGCGTGTGGAAAGTAGGGGCGAATGGCATTGCTCAGGATAGCGGCAATCCTGGCTTCCCCATCAGGGTCCAGATGAAGAAGACTATTCAGGCTACGAGGGGCTNATGACTGGCGTGTGGAAAGTAGGGGCGAATGGCATTGCTCAGGATAGCGGCAATCTTGGCTGCCCCATCAGGGTCCAGATGAAGAAGACTATTCAGGCTACGAGGGGCTCCCGCCGACTGCACCCAGTCCGCGTTGTGACACCCGCCAGCCACGAGGTCTTCGTTGTTACCTCCGACTGGGCTGAGGAAGAACACTCCAACGCAGACGAGATACGCGCCGGACAACTCTCGGTTGTGCCGGAAACCCAGGCGTCTGATGTCTCGGAGGTCGAGGACACTACTGATGATGTCCCTCCCCGTGACAACAACGGGAGTGGCCATGTGGACGGAGTGCCAGTGCAGGGGGAGAAACACTCGACGAAGGACGACGACGTCGACAAGGAGAACGCGGCTGCCCCTGCAATCGCGACCGAGAAGACGGCGCGATATCTCGTCGTGCTGCTAACCCGACCGCGGGGTCTTCTTCAGTACAGCAACCCCACAACACCAGGGGCTCTTCAAAGAAGAGGGGACTAACTAACAACCTCAGAAACCCAAACAGGCTG